ATTGGCCACGCTACTCACTCTATATGCTGTGATAGATAGTGAGTAGCGTAGCAGTGTGCGCTTGTTAACGAATCAGCGAGCGTATTTTCTTAGGACTGCTTTCTAAATGTAAGTAGTTATGACAATTAATTTCCATTTCCTAACGTGACTACTTACTTTGTAGATTAGCGAGTTGTTTCCTGGAGAGCAAGGGTTAATTCAAACAAGCGCAGTTGAATGCTTTTTCATGTCGTTATTAGGCATTCAGATGATGACATTTTTCACAATACTGTTTAATATTTGACAGGCCTTTTCAGCGATTCCTACAGTTCAGGTCACTGTCCAACATGGAACCAAAAAGCAAAAGCAGGATGCTATGCATGTTTGGATGGAAAATGTTACCATAAGTCATTTCGAAGTTTGCTTGCGTGAGTCAAGGGCATTAGATGGCGGGCACAACAAAATTGTAGTGGTAAGTTGTGTGGTGAATATTCATGAAAATGATTTTCATTCATTCATGAAATTGATTTTTCACATAAGTATTTTGATCGAGCTGTTAGCTCAAAGACGTTACGTTTCTAAATAACTGATTGATTGATTTGTCGATTCCAAGATTTACACAAAGGAGAGGGAGATTAGAAACATCTTCTGAATTATCCAGCCTTAGATATCCACCTTCCCCCTTCGTCAATAACAACAAACATCTGCTTTGACACCAATCAAATTCCATTTTCTATCTATTTACAAGCGATAATTTTAAAGTTAATTATTACTTGATATAATGCTACTTAATTCTTTTTCTTCATTTCGTTATTTAGAACTGGTTGGCGTACGTGAACTATTCATCCTCGTGGAAAGCTGAAGAATCACATAAGCTTGTATTTCCCAAGAGCGAGGTACCAGCTGCAGGAAATAATTATGCTCTGTGCATGGTATGTACACGAGTTTGTTTAACATCATTAACTGTTGGACATCAGAGTGGAATATGACAAAACCGTGATTTGGCTACCGTTTCGTTTCTGGTTTGAGTGACGTCACATCACGTGTCATTTTCCCGAGGGTATCTCACGTGTTTTTAGTTTTCGTTTAGTAGGTTTTTGTCAAAACAGCTCTTTAGCGTGCACTAGATTATTTCCTGTGATATTAAAACAGCTGACGGCACCTGTATGTGCTGCATATTATAATAACAGAATCAGAGCACATTTTGATATTAAATTTCAACTTCTTTTGTAGACTATCAAGTTTAAAGAGCCATTTTTTAAGCCTCCCGTGATACTCACAACAGTCCTCAATGGAGACAGCAACAGTGCCAACATACCTTACCCTTACAAAGGTCCTTTGGCAACCTGGCTCGAGGTACAGTCTCTTTATAGGTCGTTACAAACTTAAAGAAATCCTTAAACAATTTTAACACATTAAACAGTACCTAAAAAAAAAGCCCATTAAAAAATTCTATTTTTGCGTAAGGTCGGTGTTTGGTTTGACCCTTGAAGGTTGATTGAAATTTAAAATCGCATTTTTCACGTTTTCCCATTAACGTCGATATTTGTCCGGGGACTATTATGACATATCTATTGCAGGTCTTATCAATCTTTCATCCTTTTGTAGGAAGTGAACAAAACTCACAGCCGAGTTTGCATCAAGGACAGCGTGGGATACAATGGCCAGAGAAACGATGTAATTGTGAACTATCTGGTTATCGGAGGTAACTATGGAACCAGTTTCCTTCTTTGTAGAACATGTTCTTTTCAGAACTACCCTCGTCCAGACGATCATCCTAAACGAACTAATGTTAATGGGCAGAATGCAGAGAGCTGTTCCCGCATTACCACTCTGTATTAACTAATCTCTTAACTAATCTCTTCACGTACGTCAGGAAACCAAACATTAGTTTTGTCCATCTCTCGCTTAATCTATTGAGCATTCTTTTGTAGTATACAGAATGTTTCTACAAGGCAACATTGATCAGTTTAGGTTTTTCCTTAATTAACATCTCTTACCTGGCAACAAGACTGAAAACACATGCCGGTCTCTTCTGCCTTCATCCAATAGGTCTATAGCGTCTTGAAAAAGTTAAAAAAAAAAAGCAACAAAGCGACAGAAGCAAAATAAATTGTGCATCCATTCATCTGTATACCTATTTCTTTTAGCCAATCCTTCCGTAATCAATCAAACCGTAATCCCATTAGCTAACCATTTTATTTACTATTTTTAGACCTTGATCCTTGCAGAGATATTATCTGCACATATCACAGTTACTGCAAAGCGTATACTCCTACCCAATTTAAATGCATTTGTGAAGAACATTGCCCGTCATACGAAGAACAGGTCTGTGCCTCCAACGGTCGCACTTTTGGCAACCTCTGCTTGCTACAGAAAGACATATGTACACGACGTGCAAACTACACGAAGTACCATCCTGGGAGCTGCACAGGTAATGGGAACTGTCCTCTCCTGTAG